CCGGACACCTCCGTACTGATTGATCTTTTTAGAATCAAACTTTCTCTACTTTCCCTAACCAAATTTTCTTTTCTTTTTTCCAAATTTGATGAATAATTTGGTAAATAAACCACCACTGGTTGGCCTGATAATAAAAACAAAAAAAGTTCATGAGCTCTTGAGTTCGAGTCCCCCCAAACACTAATGGGGGTGGCCATTGAGGCTCTTATCCACTGGCAGTTCCAAGGCTCTGAAAGATTAATTGAGATAAGCAGCTGACTCTGACACCTCCGATGATAATAAAAAAAAATTTGGTAAATAAAAGATGTATTTAATTTCTATCTAAACTTCATGTGGCATGACAGCCAATATATTCATGGTAGCTTTGGGTTAAATCATGTAATATATAATAAATTGATAATTCCATTGTCTTATCGATACCTAATATTAAAAAAAAAATAGCTTGTGTGTCAATTATTTAAGTCGACACAATTAAAAAAGCCGAAATGGCATATGCTATTGCTAATTTAATCAATTACTAGAGTTGGCTCTTTCTATATTGATCTATTGCTATTCAAATTAGATATTTGTTAGTGTGATGGCTTGAAACGTTGACGTTTTATGGTTTATGAGATGACGTCATTTTGAGCAATTTGAAGAATTGATCCTGAGCATTGATGGAGAGAAATCCAAAGGCTGTAATTAGTTTTTCGGTCAACCATATAAAAGCTGAACTTTGGGCAGATTGGTAATACACAGTATTTCGTGAGAACCTCTCTCTCTTCGTTGGAGCAAAAATCGATCTGTTAGGGTTTACGAATTTTGTGATTGAATCTTGTAACTTTGTGTGAGTGACTGTTTCAGGTCATTCAGGTGTATTTGATTCGTTACCAGTAGGGATTCCAAGGGTAGAGTCTCTAGGTGAGTTACGATTGTAGAAGGGGATTAAAGGGTGTTAATACTGGGTTAATTTGAACTGTGATCTTGATAGTGTTAGTGCAGCGAGCTTGCTTGTTTCCTGAGCTCAACGTGGAAGTAGCTTGCTCAGATTGAGCAAGTGAACCATGGTAATTTCTTGTGTTCTTGTGTGTGTGTTCTTCGTGATTCTTTTTTTGTGTTGTTGTTGTTGGTTAAATTAGTGCGTGAGATATACAATATTAATTAAACATTGTAAAATTGGTGAAATCAAGCATCAAAGTAGTTAAATAATAATACCATTATATATCTCAAGCTAAAGAGAATATTTCTTCGTTCCACCTTCACATCAACCTGTTTTCTCTTCATACTCTCCATTAGAAGGGTATTTTTACACTACTCTCTCTAATAAGTTATATTAATCCATTAATCTATGCATGCAATATCAAGGAAACTAATTAATTAAATATAGAGGTACGACTTTTTCCCGCCTATAAACTTTTAAATACCACTTTACTATCCAAATTTATATTTCGGCGGTGAACGAAGAGTAAATTTGGTCCGGCTGTTGGAGTTTTGAAGAGGGAAGTTCGATGAATCTATTAGTGGTACAATTTGGGTTTTGGTGATGGAATTTGACTTAGGAGCGGTGGTTGCCAAACCCTAATCGCTTGGTTGTTGTGATTAGCGGGTCATAGGATTAGGGTTTGAGGGGTTTTAGTGATGATGATCAGAGAAGAGAATGGTGATGGTGTGGGGTCACAACTGTAGTAATTGTCCAACAAACTATCAACGCAGCTAACAAAATTCAATCGGTAAATCAATTACCTTTCTTTGTCTAGATCCGAGTATAGATTATATCGTATTGTTATAAATAAAAATCTATATAAGTAAATCCTTCAATGATTAGAATACTTACGTACGTTTGGAGGCTTCTTCGAATATCTCTGTTTCGACAGGAATACTGTTCACGGTTATGTTCATCGTCTACGTCCACATGATTTTTCGCCAATTAATCCAAGTAGGATCGCACTCACGGAAGTCCACACAAGATAATCCGTAGAACTCTTGATTATTTTGCTAGAACAATCAAGGCTTCAAGAATCAAGAAAGAGAACAAGAAAAGTTTTCTTCTTGAGAGAGAGAGAGAGAGTGGGTGGCTAGGATTTAATTAATGAATAATTCCTTTTGTTTTAATTTTAAGTTGCACTTATATAGTGCAACCATTAACCCTTATTCACTTAGGAATAGCCATGACTCCAACCCTAGTCATCTTTGCAACCAAAACACCTTTTATGGTATTTTAATTAATTAATTATTATTAAATTAAAATCAATTAATATAATATATATAGACATTCTATTAATAATAATATTCTTTAAATATAACATAGATATATTTAAATATAATCTCACTAATTTAATTTAATATTAAAATTAAATCAGGCACACACCTCAGCAAATTTAATTGCACTGTGAGATTACCAAAATACCCCTTGGTCCTGAAAGACGAAAATACCTTTCTCACAAATTGATTCTTAAATTATCTTTAAGTGTATGACCCGTAGGCTCCTTATCATATCGGCAGTGAGTAGTATCGCGATTAACACCAATTAATCATCTCACTAGACACAGACCAAGATTGACCCCTAGCAGGCATCATGGCCACTCGATAGATTCGGATTCAACAAACGGGCAGTCTGTCAATGGTATGGTTACCGTGCAATCAAATCATTTCATCAACTGTTCTCATCGAGACGAGGTAACAGAAATAGTGTCACCTCAGATATCCTCGACACGTTTGTATTCAGTTATTGGACCAATGTCAGGAATATTAAATTGATTGAGTATCAACTCATCCCCCTGTGGTCACAGATTTAGTGTCATTGCCATTTACTGAATTACCCATGAGATACTTCTCCCCGTACCCAGGAGTGATGAATCATTTGTCGATCCATCATAGTCCGATACACTTCTCAATGTAGTCAATCACTACCGTATTGATAGCTCTAATAGAACTACGTTGGCCTAGTGTCAAACTACATCAATTGGTGCACAAGGTGCTCTGGTGATCTCAAGCAAAGATCACATGTACCACCATCTGTTAGATGATTTATTCTATAGACATTGGGGTTACCCATCAATATGGAATCCTGGTGAGTCTTTTCATTGAACTTGCCTCTAGCAAGCACCTAGTGTTTGTACCAGGTTGTCAGCAAACAACCTTGATAAGTGAGATCAGTCACTGCCTTTCGTAAGGTCGTTCAACACTATGATAGTCTTACATATTATCTTTTCCTTGATCAGAATAATACTGGGGTACGGACGTTTCTAGAATGACCACCATATGTGATCATAGGGTTTTCACTATCAGATTTGAACACCTTGATACTCCATCACGGTTCTGCCATCCTAAGGACATATATCATTGCATACACGATATAGAAGAATATGCCTTTTATTGATAATAAACATTTATATTTAGAATCAATTTTACAATAATTGATTACTCTAGGGCACCTACTCTAACAAACACAATGCTGGAATAGAAATGAACTATAATTTGGGTAATAAATTGACATTTTAAATTCTGTGGATGAAAAAATATCATCATTAAGCCATTATTCGGGTGGACAAAAGTCGTTTACTCTAAATATATAGTAAACTTAATGTTTTTGTTAAGTAATTAAGATTAATTATATATAATAGTAATTAAGCCTAGACAGAATCTTCGGGATGGAGTAAATAAAACGCTATAAGATCGTTTCATTTAACACACTACACATAAATTATTATATATACTAGAATCTTCATGTGTAGTTCATGGACAAATCCCATCTGATATTTTTATTTTTATTCAATTTTTTAAGATAACCTATCAGAATCAATGCCTATCTCCCAATTCCCACACATAAAGAAATGTGATATATTATATATAGATATTTTTTATTTCCATGGATTAATTTAATTAGATTCTGAATCTCCCTTCTCTCCACTATAAACCCTTCTTCCCTTTCATATTATGGCACGATCAAACTTACAACCTTTCAACTTTCTCTCTCCCCCAACTCTCTTTTCTTCCTTCCCTTTCTCCTACATTTTCTTTTTCTCATCAAATGGAGAGAAACCAGCAACTTCGTAGACAACTTGCAGCCATGAGACAGTCCTCTTTGATCAGGTTCGTTATATAACTCCTTTCTTCTTCCTCTTCCTCTTCTTCTTCACATTTTTGTAACATGCACTTACAAAAGTTCTCTCATTTCAGCCACATTAATCATAATAATTTCTAACTCTAGATCTTTCTCTCTTCGGAGCTGCATTTATCAACATATTATGTTGTTTGTACAACTGGAAGAGACATGCACAAGTTTTCTATTTTAACAGAGTATGAGAGTAAAAGTCTTTTCAGTTAAAACTTCTTGTTTTTTCGTGTTTGTAATCGACTTGACGTTGAATTTAGCTTGTTCTAGTGCATGTTATATGTGAGAGTTCTGTTATATATATTTTCTTTGAGTTTGAGACGGGAAAATGATTTTTTGGAGCATTTTCAGGGATACCTTGAACAGTTCATCCAGTTGGAGGACTTCAGATGTGCTAACCCTAGTTTTGTAGAGGAAGTTGTCACATTGTACTACCGAGATTCCGCCAGGCTAATCACTAACATAGACCAGGCACTGTGAGTTTTATAAACATCAATCTTCTTTATTAATTTCAATACTAATAAATAAATTAAGCACTAATTAATGTGTTAATATTGCAGGGAGAAGAGCCCTCTTGATTTTAACAAGTTAGATGGCTATATGCATCAGTTCAAGGGAACACTCAAGGTAATTAATTAGTTATAGTTAAATTAATATTGGTGATTATTATAAATCAATATATCTAATAATAAAAAGTGTATCTATCAAGTATATTCTTGTTGGTTTTTACACAACACTTCATAAAAACATTCTTTCTTATTGGGTGCAGCATTGGAGCCAAAAAGGTGAAACTGAGAGCAACAGTTCAGAGAATATTGCAGCAGAAATGGAGAAGGGTAATAATAAAATAATTATTTTTTTTATTTTATGCTTTTTAGTGTTCAGGGACTACTTTTATCTGAGGATAATGCTTATGAATAAGATACTGGAATGTTTTAATCCACTTGCACTTAAATTTCGACCCTCTTTGACTGTGTATACATGTATACGACTATATTCACTCCTCAGAGATGAGTTGTTGCCTCTTTTGCAGCTTGAAAGAGAAGATGAACTAGCAAGGATTAGGGATAAAGGGGGCAGAATTGTGCAGTGGGGCTGCTTAAGGGTTGAGGGGGTGCTTTCTATGTCGAGAGCAATAGGTTTTTCTTTTACCCTATATGGCTTTTTGTTTTCATAACATGAATTATTTGGTTTTTCTGCAGGAACTATTATCTTTTCCATGTTAGTGACTTGTTAAAATTGCAGTGCATTCAAAAAACCTTTTTTTCTCTCCGGGGAGATAATAAATTTTGCAGCAAGAATGCTGCATAATTGATAAGAACTCCTGAGCTTTTAAACAGAGCACAGAGCTGAACCAAACTGCAACAGTGCAGTAATCTTACTACATGGATATGAGTAGTGCAATAATATTTGCAGCATCTTGCTATAAATGTTGCTTTCTTTTGTGGTTGTGCCTCTATTTTGCTCTAGAGCTGATGCTAATTACCACCAGCATATATAAGACCTACTGTGTAAAAGATGTATTGATATTGTATCCAGTTTGAGATGTTGGTAATATTTCTACTTTGCTAGTAAGATAAGTTTTAGTTTAGACCTTCATACATGTAAGTTTTGTCGATGACCTACACTTTGTCATTTCTCGATATGGCAGGCTTTTGTGGGCAAGGCATATACAACAAATGCGGTGCAAAGTTCCTTTTTATCTCCTCACATGTTTCATTATATCTACATGTTAATATTCATACAAAAAATACATGTATATGCTTGTGATAATTACATATACACATTCATTTAAGACATTCCATTTACTTCCAAAGGTACTTTGGTCTCTCTCCTTAGATTTATTTGGTATGAACTTCTTTTATTTTACCTTTTTAAATTTCCACTTTTCTGTTTCTATCCTATGTCTAAGTTGAGAGCCTTGAATTGGCTCTCTTCTAAGATTCTTTCAATTACAATGGTTCTCATAAGCAAATTATTTCTAGCAGTGTAACTTTACAATTGTTCATTCTTTTTCTTTCTTCCTTTCCAGTATTTTATGTCTTTTTTCAGCTACGATTAGATTTTAGTTCACTGTGTGTTTTACAGAATAATTTGTTGATTCAATTTCAAAGTTTGAGGCATTTTAGTTCTTTTATGACTAAGATATGTTTAACTTTAGATCTAATAATCTGCATGTTTGGTATGTCTGAGTTTCAGGTGATCATGGTTTGAAACCATGGGTTATTTCAGTGCCAGAAGTTACTTTCACGCCTAGAACTGAAGATGACGAGTTTTTGATTTTGGCAAGTGATGGACTTTGGGACGTCTTGTCTAATGATGTTGCTGTAAGGTTGGCTCGTGAAGAATTTAGGTACCAACGCAGGCAGCCAAAAAAAGATGATACTTCATCCCACCCTCCAGCCCTTAATGTTGCCAAAGAACTGCTGAAGCGAGCTTTTACTGCATACACTTGCGACAATGTCTCTGTTGTTGTTGTTGACCTGAAACTGCCTAGGAGAAGGCCTCATCAAAAGCTTTGAAAAAGGTTCTTTCTCTCTCTTTCTTGCTCAGTCACATTTCACTTCTCCAACTGGCTTTAGTTTTAGAAATACTTTATGAACTTCATTTATATTGAATTTGAGACAGCAAAATACTTATCATGAGGTCCGTTATATAGCTCATTGACTTATTCTATTATTATGTGGTGAAAGAGTTTTGAACTTCTGTTGACAGCTATACAAGACAACTTTGACACTTATATTTTGTTTATCACCCTAATTTATAGTTACTGGGATGTTTTATTGCTAACTTCAGGCTCCATCTTTTGTTTAATTCTGACTAGACTGTTAAAAATGTCTGAGTTACGTATCTCTAGACATAAAACACTCATCTTGTTTAAATTGTAAAAATCTATGAAGTTTTGTGTGTACATTATCAGCACTTTTATTTGCCGTTAGTAGAACATATCAAATTCTTTCAGTTAATCAGTTGGTTTTGTTTTCTTTCCCAACAGGGATGGAAAAGAAACCTGGGTTCCACCTTTTTCAGAGGGAAGGAAAAGAAGGAATCGTTTCTTGTTGGCCAAGTCATGTTTCAATGAGATGGTAAAAGTAGGATGTTATAATAAGTTGTGTATAACAAACTCTAGACAAACAAAAGTTGTACATGAGCTATTTCCAATAATAACCTACATATTTTGGACATATATATATTATTTTCTATTGATTACTCAGTAGAGTAGTTTCAATCTTTTGTTTCATTTTAAGTATTGATCTATTGCTGCATTCTGAATGGAGAATTTGCATTCAGTTACCATTTTCATAAATCATACATAAGTGAGATTGGGATGAAAAGGAATGTAGAAGTTTAGAGATGACGAGAAAATGAGGTCACTTATGTAGATTTAGTTGTGACTGAGGCCTCTATTTGTCTTCTATTATTCTTGAGTATGAAGTTCTGTACATGCTAGTTGAGATTGTTGTTTACAGTTGGTTCATGATGTGGTACACCATGAGTGTGAAATGGAGGCCGACTACATTAAGAGCTAGTACTATTGTTTGAGTTGGTGACACTTCAGTGTATGACACTGATCAGAAAAGGGTTAAGATTGTTAGAAGAAATAAGTTCAAAACTTGGATAGAGATTTTAGTTAAGGTTCTGTTCCTTGAGTTTCAGTTTACCAAGCTTTATATCAGCCTATTCAATTTCATAATCAAAATTTTAGGGTTGGAGATGACAGAAAAGTTGAATAAAGGACATTGCTGCTCCTTTTATTTGCCGTGTGTAGTCTATAGTTGGGATGGCTACTCATTGGCCTAGGTGAGAAGACTGTACCTTCAGCAGTTTAATTAGGAACAAACTATGCGACATTAATGCATCAAGCTATATGTCAGACTTGTAAAATTAAGGGGAAAAACGAACATATATCTGGTGGGGTTGTATCTTCAAGTATTCTACCAATTCAAGGGCAAGGAGCTACCACTGATGCAAGAGTTAGAAAATAAGAACTCTCAGAAATTAATTGTCAGTGGAACTGGAACTCTTCTTAGAGTCAAAACTTGGAATTGTTGCTTGAAAGTTGGGAAAATCTTGCATTCTTTAACCTCTTGAGATCAGATAGAAGAACACTTGGAGAAAGAACTTGATGAAACTTTGGTTACAAGTGTTAAAGTAATCTCTTCCTAAAATGTATATGGCATAACTTATTTAGTTTAACTATCATACACTGAATCTACAATTCTGGAAGCTAGCTTCTATAGGCAACTTTATCAGGTATATGCAGGTTTACCTTTTGTTTTAGTTGAGTTTTTTATGGAAAGCTTGGTGACAGTGGTTTTCACCATTATGTTTGAGCATTATAAGAATCATAGGCATCAGCATAGTACTTCTATTTGTAGCAGACTCCTATTATGTCCTTCACAGAACTCTTTGGATTCAAATGGAGACATATGAGTGATGTATAGAGAGTAAGGAAACCATACACAGAAAAACAGGACGGGCAACGAAATTTTTTTTGATGTACGGAATAAATTTTCGCTGAGTTGATCTATGTTTTTTATGTTATTCAACATCACAGCACCGGGATAATTGTGAAATAGGAGATTAGTAGGAATCACACTGCATGTTTATGCATCTAGATGGTTGGATGGTCAAAAATCATTTATTATTTGATAATAAGTATTATGATATTAACGAACATATAAGCATAGGGCACATAAATGTTGTTGGACCATATAACTGTATCACTACTTTTAGAGTATTCTGGACAGAATATAAGAATGAAGTTATCTAATGCAGTAAAAGTTGAAAGTGCATTTAAGCTGAAGAGGATTTATCTTATTAAAATTTCTAAATACCAGCATTGTGTTGCATTTGTTGATCTAAGTAATGTTGACTACTTTTAAATGCAAGTTTTCTAGGTTTTAGGTGCTTTAAACCAAACGAAATTATATTATTGCAGATGCAACTAAGACAAGTTTCTTGATGGCTGTAATAGCTCTTCTTTTGGAATACATGAAAACTGTTTCCGTATGCTCATATTTTTGACATACATGTGTCTTAAGTTATTTAGTATTTCAGTATTTTGATGTTGCAAAGCCAATGCTGGACTTTCATATACCACCATGTACTTTCAATTTCTTGGATAGGGGAAACTGAAAGTGTTATGTGCTGTTAAGTTCAGTACAAGATCAACCACCCTTTCATTTTGACCAGACTTTTACAATCTACTTAGTCTTCCTCGGTGGCATTTGCTAAGATTCAAATAATTTCTAGCAAGCTGGATTTGGATAAGAATTTAGTTTCTTTAAAGTCAAAGGCATCGAGCTCAAATTCAATAGTCTGAGTTTCAATCTTTTGATTAAACCATGCTCATCGTAGTCCAGTAAATAAACTGCATAAGTCTCAAGATCTTATAATAGCTCTTGAAAAATTCCTTAGTTTCTAAGTGCTTTATAGATTCATATGCAACTTGTGAGAATATGATAAGCATGAATATTTATTATTGGTATATTCAGAATGAGTTACTGTTATTTAATTTTTCTTCGTGACTCTTGGGAGAGCAAAGACCAATCTCTCAGCTTCATGCATTTGAGCTCATGTTTGCTTGAATCCTAATCCTTTATTTTCTATATAATTCGCTTAGAAAAATTATTTACTTTTCTTTTGGTTCATGTTTGTTATTAATATTTGGAGTTATCTGCCTGTAGCATGCATAACTGGGGTCCAAACTTTTATTGCTACAGAAGGGAAATGCTGATGTCTTTGAGCAATCCATTTGCATGTTAAAATCTTAACGACTGTCCACTTGGCGCCGTGATGGCTCTCTCTCAAAAGTTATTCAGAATTACTTTTCCTTATTTGGCTGATGTTCTATCTTCACTAATTAGGTGGCTCTTTGATCATTCGATTGGTTCTTCACTTTTCTGGTTTGCTACGAGGATCAAGTCTTGTTCAGTTTATTTGGATAAAATTTCGGCGGATGAAGCAGAAGCTGCCTATAGTGCGGTTGCTGCTTTCAATAATGTCTACTAAGAAATGGATTCTTATTGAGATGAGCAGAATTGATGCTGCAAGGAGAATATCTACATAAAGGTTAGCGTGAAAGCAACTTTAAAGCTAACTTCTGTATGATTGCATCAATGCCCACAAGTTCGGTTTATTCGCATAAGCACATTCTTGATGAGTGAAAGGGATGTTTTTCGAGAAGGGCCAGCCAGCAGCAAATTCTTTTATGTGGCAACATTAGCTTACTTCCTTTTAAGCCAAATAGCATTACACAAACTCATGTTCCTTTCTTATCGTTGAATCTACTAGCTTACTCATTTTGCAAGTGCTAGTTGCTGATTGGTTGATTTTTCATTTAGGATAAAAACCAGGTTTACCCTTGTGAACACTCAAATTATTTGGCCTGGTTTGTCAAGAATCAGAACAAAGTGTTTCTTCTGACTTCTGTTTACAGAAAATGAACACATATATTTCAGTAGTAAAATCATATCTCAACTGCATACGTCATAGTTACCGGCAAAGTGATTTCGAAGGTTCAAAGTAATTCATAGCTGTGATTCAATGAACTGGACAACACATCTAGTGAGAAGACTGCCTATATTTTGAATATATTGCCTTTATATGATTCTTAACTCTGCATAGATTAGCAGCACATAGATAGACAAATGGAGCAGGATCATTTTCACAAGAAATTGTTGACAATGTGTTGATAGCTACCACAGCTGTTATCGCCAAAATGTGTCATATTATTCATTATTATTAATATTCTTTTACCATATTGCTCCAGCACTGGTCCCTGATATAACTATTGTGTATGTATTATGCATGCAAACTCTGTACTTAAGAAAGAAATTGTTGCATCCCACATCGTCTGGTGAATGAGCTTTGTGATTTAGTTTGTAAGACTTAGACCCCCCTAACTTAATAGACATGTTTTGAGTTAAGGATGCTTGCTTGCAGTCCAAAAGTAAACCCGTGCAACCTTAGTCACAAAACAGACAATTTTTACTTGGTTAGACTCAATTGTGTAGGCTTGGACCCAAAACGGACAATTTCTACTTCATTAGACTCAGGATTTAACATAAATGCGAAAGGAAGCAACAACTGAAACACATATGTCATCTCTGTTATGCTGATGCAAAGTTTGTTGTACATTTTTTATAATGATTTGGTGAAAATATCTTATAGTTCGATTTAGAAGCAAACTGAAGAAAAAAACTATAGTAGCAGCTGGTACTGTCCAGGGTGGGATTCTTATCAACATAGGAGACAGTGATAGGAAAAAAGAATCATAATCTGTGGCAGAAATGAACACAAAATCATATTCTGATCCTACTCCACCCAGACCATCCTCCAGCTTTTGATTACTCTTTTAACAAAGATGTGACCACACTTTTGTGAAAATACTGTAGGGAAAACAAAAACATTTTATTATTATTTTCTGCTTTCTGCTTTCACTTGTGTTCGTTTGTGCATGGCATTGGCAGAGGAATAAAGAGGGAATCTCTTCTCTTACACTTCTTCCCTTTTTAAAATTTTACTAAAATTTACAGGTAAACTTGTTATATGTCAATCATTATTTTGATTTTTCCTATTTTGGGTTTGTAAGATTATTATTCTTTCCTTGTTGGTGTTTCCTGTTTATTATTATTCTCTGCCCGCCATATCTTTCAAGGATGCTTTTCTTACTTCAAATTAAATTATTGCATTTTGACCTAATTTTCATGTAAAAATGGAATGATTTGATCCACATGGACTATTTAAACACAATATGCACTTACCACTTCATATTTGGCCTTTCATTTTGGCAAAGTTATTGCAAATGTGAGATTTCTGTTTCAGCTTGTATGCATCTTAACTAATTCTTCGGAGTCTTGAAGTGAACGACTAGATAAATCCCTTCAATGGTCACTTCTATTAGTGTTTAAGTTAACTCGAACTTATGTATCTATTTTGGACCCTTTTGTTTTTTTACCATTAAACCATCTAGCGGTGGTTTAGTTATTACAACGTTCTAATATAGGATTGAGATATTAGCAAAGTTATTGGACTGAAAGGTAAATTTGCCTTATTAGTTTCAAACAAGAACAAATATGGATTTACTAGTATAATATCAAGATTTTGAACCTCTCATGTCAATCATTAAATCATAATTCGAAGGTTCATAGGGTAAAGCTATTCATGTAATAT